TCTTGAAGATGAAGATGTTGGTAAAGTGGAATACTGGTAGGATTTTATGAAAATGTAGCTGAAGGTTAACTGAAATTATTTATCTCATTTCAATATCCATGATTAGCTGAAACTTTTACGTCTCCATTACATTTAATCAGTTCATTTCTGCCTGTATGGAAGATCAGATTCAGGTTGAAACTTGAAATATAAAATATTTTCCCCATTATCTGTGAATCAGAACATTATTGAAAGCGGCAATGTGTAAGAATAAGCACTGCCTGAAAGTTACACTAGGGAGGATGAAAAGCTAGCAAACAGAAAGGCTTTTTACACCTTGGAAGTCAAAACAGAGACTGAGCTTTTTCAGTGCCTGGTTTTGCTTAGTTTGTCCTATACAGAATTACAGGAAGAATTTCATTCATTTGTAAAGGATGTTGAACAGCACAGCATGCTCTAAGTGGCTGAAAATGCTGCCTATTTATTTAAAATGTGATTAACACTCTGCAGACTCAGGCTATCCAAATCCTGATGATTAATTGAACCTCATGTAATTTTCTTATTGTATTTGCAATAAACCAGACTCTAAAATCTTACAGTAAAATACTTAATCATTCTTACCTATACCTCAGCAAGTCTGTGATTCTTTGTAAGGGGATGCTGTAGCTAAAAGCTTGTAGCTCATCTAGGCCAGGCTCAGAGAGGAAAGTACCCCGGGCTGAGAAAGTTTAGAAAATTTAGCGTAACTTGAAAGTCTTGTTTCTTCATGAGATCTGGAGTAGTCTTGCTACTGGTATGGCACATATACAGATTCTGTTAAATTTCCTGGATTCATTTGAGTGAACCTCCCTTAAAACAGATCTATCTTTTGAATATTCTGCTGCTCCCCACTGCTTATGAACTTTATACTACTTTGGTTCTCAAATTCGTAGCCAGTCTATTTTAGGGTAGCTTAGAGTAAATTAATGGGTGAGAGTTCACCACTGTCAGTGGGAAAGTGACACACAATTATTTGGAGCTTTGGGCACCCATGGACACCATTCCTGTCAATTTAAAACAGAGGGGTCACAACAACATTTGAAAACCATGGCAGACTTAACCTTAACTGGGAGGTACTTTGATAACAGTATAAACTGATTCCTCAAAGAGTAGTATCACCCCTTTAGACACAGCCCTTTCCTGTTCTCAGATAAACACACTTTCAAAAATTTTGGTGTGTTGCCACTGACAGTGCTCATGTGAATGACATCCACGGACCTTTGGCTGCTGTGACAATGGCACAAAGTATACAAAATCAAGTAATGCTTTATTCTACCAGACAGTAATAAGCATGTAATTATATTGTAATTAAAAAGCAATTATTTACTGGCAACTATTGAAGACGTCTTTAATGATAATTCTGAGTGTGACTACCATGTAATTTGTAGAGAGGAATAAGTGTGCAATTACCCTGTTAGTAACACAGCAATTACCAAATACATCCATGCATCTTTCTGTTTTCTGACATGGAGTTACCGACACCTGCAAAGTGTAAATTACATGGCAACTACACATGCAGCTGCCAGGTGATGTACAGTAGAATGAAAAGATGGCAGATATCATTTCAGAATTAGGGTTTGATTCATTAATGTAAAACTGGTGTAACAGATTAAAGAACAGAGATCAAATCTGAAATAAGACAAAGTCACGGGAATCCACAGAGCTTGAGAGAGTTATAAATGTGCTGTGAATCAACCCCAAATCTTTGTGTAGAATTGTGGGTACAATAAAATATATTGTCACAAGTCTGGAATTAGTGGTTAATCCCTTTCACATGAACTGATTCTATCCTATTCAAAAGAGAGAGTTTCTATTGTTTCTGTCTCGGGTTCCTATCACAGAGAAGCAACAGAGACTTGCTGTACATGGAGCCTCATATGTCAGCTTCCCACCTCCCTCTTATGTCAGTATTCCAGTGACATTCCCAAATAATGGGTTTGACAGAAGGTGGGCTCTGAGCAGAGGAACTTACCAAGTGAGTGGGAAAGCAGAAGCAAAAGCCCCAAGGCAAGATATGTCATAAACATTTCAGAGAAAACACTAAATACATTAATTTGAAGCAAATGATGTATCATTTTATGGCTGGTGTAGGCTACATGCATTCTTGTGACACAAACCCCCATTCTAACAAAGTTATTGTTTATTCCACATAAATATAACCTTAGTCTTAGGCACGAGACTTGAAAATAGATCGACGACTTAAGTACTCAAAGCTAAAGATACATTTATCTACACTAGCACACACATCATCTCAGTTTTTAAACCTGTACATCTAAATCACATCCAGAACACCAGAAGATCCCTGCCAAATATTACACTAAAGCACATGCAGAGTTTAATTTTAAAAAGTCTTGGCAACTGAAAATTAGTATGAGCCCTAAGTGGTCAAAATATTCAGTCCAATTTTATGCAACAGCCTACAATAAAGAGCTGTGGCTTATTTGAGGCTTATTTATAAGTAATTTATCTAAAATTAAAATAGTCTTTGTTTTCTTTAAAGAAAGAATGAAAGGAAAAGAAAAATATAGGACTGCAAAACCCTTCTGAATCATAAATTCTAAACCCCAGAGAAGAAAGAAACTAATCCAGTGTGATGTGAGACAACACACTGCCATGCTGGAAGTATTTCTCTCTGTCTGTAGTCCACTTCTCTTTCTTGGTCTGGGAAACCAAAGTTCAGCAACAAAACTAAGTGTGGCTATTATTTACTTAACCCTCAGATTTCATTTATTACTATCATATTACTTAGACTTTGCCATCTCATTTTATATGCCTGCTAAATTTCTTCAGCAGTGCCAGAAAACAGACACTTAATATTTAGAACAATTCATTTGATGTTCTGTCATCCATCAAGATTTACAGCAATACTGTCCCAAGATGCCTGAATCCTATATACAAAACACAAAGCTGTTGATTACAAAATAGGATGATGAAAGGGGGCTGGAGTGTCTTTCTAGAAAGTTTAGGAGGAAAATGTGAGTCATCTTAAAGCACTTATTTTGAAGAGAAGCAGGATAAGCCCTTCCTTTCACATCTCTGATAATTTAGAATAATATAGATAATTAAAGTTTTCTCCAACAGCTATACTGTGGGAATGCTGTAATCCTTCTTTGTCCACACATAGTGTTCCAGGGTGATTAATTGTTAATTGACAAATGTCAGTATACCCTGGAGCATATTTTGCTGAAAACATACAGCCAATGATGGCCATTAATTTTTTCTTCTTGTTTGCAAAATCTCACTGAGAGACATTCATGTCTCATAATTTATCCAAGGGTTTCTAGAGAACAATAGCTTGCATCCTAGATGCTGGCACTCTATTAAAACCTTGAATTAGGTATAAAGAAGGGTGAGTGTTTTGTCTGAAAGACTGGATTCCACTAAGACAGTGCCTACACATAAATAGATGACTATTCATTTGTTCAGTCAGACATGTGCCTAAATGTGATGGAACTGAGACCAGAGGGTGATCTGGTCACAAGTACTCTGTGTCTGCTACTGATGTAAATTAAAATTCCATGCAAAAAAAAAAAAAAAGAAGAAATAAAAAATAAAGAAATAAAACTCTAAAAAACAACAACAACAGCAGAAAAAAATACACCCAGAATAAAACCCCCAAAACACCAGCCTGGTTTATTGAACTGACTTCCTGTTGTTTTGTTACCAAAACAACTAGAAAGACTATTAGGCCATGGTGTGGGCTTTTAATGACAATAGAGCTATTGCCCAGTTCCTGTTGCTTTGTTGTATCATTGTTACAGTCCAGTGGTTGCATTTCAGCTGCAGTGTTTCTGGAGTTGATGTGGAGGCTGCTGCTTCTGAAAGCATCTACAAAAAATAAAACCTCTTTTGCCAATAATGGATATTGCTGTAGCAGTGTAAATGGAGAGGTCAAAGCCTGTGAACATGGAAACATGGTAGTACAAAACAAAACAAAACAAAACAAAACAAAAAAATAAACAAAAGAGGATAAAATTGTTTTTAGTTCTACATAACTATTCTATGTGGGTTCATTATTTTTATTAAAAAAATTAGTCAAAACAGATGTGGATACACATAATACACATAGCTAGATTTGCATGCATGTTTAGCATTTGTGATTATTTGGACTGACAGTGTCTGCATGGTTTCTTTAGGTTGTTGAATAAAGGTCAAAATGCGTTACTGTGCTCCCAGTCCTAGAAGTTTGCTCCCAGAACTGTACTGAGGAAACTCACTCCTCAGTTGTCTGCTTTTTTGCCTGTTAGAGACAACAGAAACCTTCATTCTCTGGAGCTGTCATTCTCATATCTTTCATGTGTGCTAAACTCACTAGAAAAAATATTTCAGATGAAAACAATAGAAGTGCTCCATAACTCATACACAGTAATTGGTGTCCTGATGAAATCTGGGGCCTTATCTTGAATTCCTAGCACATCTTATGCTTGCCAGGGCATATTACAAGGAATGTGGCACAACTGTTTGTTGCCGATATAATTGTCGATCCAGATGTACAATCTTCTTATTGTTTACTCTCATAGCATTTATAGATATGTTTAAATACATATATATGGATGAAAATTTCAGTCTAGACAAGTAATGAATAAAGAGCTTCTGAATCTTTTGAGGATATTTTTCCCCTTTTTAGATAAAAGACCCTATTTTTTCTATTTTAAGTAACAAGACCTAAAAAACCTTAAATGGCATTATTTAATCTTAAAATAGTCTGTATCTTTTAATAGGTATAGATAAATAAACAACTTTATTTTAATGTTTATTTTAATGTTTTAAGAGTTTAAAAACCCTTAAAAAGCATGATGGACATCTACCATATGGGCTTTTGGTATTTCTCCTACTTGAAGCAAAAAAATCAGCCCTTCTCTGGCTACAAACTGCACCCTACTGTGTTACTTAAAAGCACAGCAGAAATTTTAGAGGTGGCCTAAACTGTGATTGTGCTTGGAAAATAATTCCTCTAGGATATATATCTGTATGATCTTTACCTTGAAAATAACCAAAAGGTACCAAGTTCAGGAAAGTTGTATGTGCTTATCTTGGAATCCAGAAGTCATCACAATGGCATGATTTTTGGATACAGGTTTCATGCATTTCTGCGGTAGCCAGAAGGTGGATGAAAAGAGTGTGAAGTGGGGTTGGAAGGTGCCTGTGGTACACACAGAGGGAATCCTGCATCCAATGTGTAGAGGTGACAGAAAACTGGAGCACAGCAATCTTCCACTTGAGTTGTATGTGTTCTGCTCAGTGGCTTTCCTGCAGGGAACTCACCATGTGTCCAAATACTAGATTTTGTCACTGGCAAAATACGAAAGAGAAAAATGGTCATTTCAGAGGTCTCAGCTGCTCTGGTAGAAACAAGTAGTAATTCACATTGTCTGAAAATGTCTCTGTGGGTGGAGAAGGGAAAAACAACAACCAAAACACAGCTCCTTTTCCATTTTTTGATCAGCCCAAAATTTAATGCAAGATTCATCAAGTATAACTCAAGCTTCTCCTTAAGCACCTGCAGTTTTATGCCTCTGGGATCAACTTTGTTAGGAAGCCCAGTCATCAATCCAGCCTGTGTCTTCTCGAAGATGACATTTTTCTTCTATATCTTTCATCAGTTCTGGAAGTCAAATCTTGCTCTTCCCAAGAGTGCTGTTCCTCAGGCAGGAAGGTATACTATAAGGAAGCCTTCACAGACTAAAGGAATTTTGGAGGGAGATGGGGTGCAGGGGCATAGGAACATTGAATAGCTCCAGGAAAAGGGCTATAATGAATACAAAAGCCATTGTTCTTAGGATCAGATATCTGTCATTGAACTTCAAAGGAATTTTTATTATTATTATTATTATTGTTATTATTATTATTGTTGTTGTTGTTGTTGTTGTTATTGTTATTGTTGTTGTTGTTGTTTAGTAATAATAGTAATAATAGTAATAATAGTAATAATAGTAATAATGTGGTGGTGTTATTATCATCTTTATTATCATTATAAATAGGTTAATCAGATATGCTAAAATAAGAGCAGACCTGAACTCCCACTGAGCCTTTTTTGAGTTTTAAAAAAAGTTAATAATTTTGTTCATGCTTTTTTCCTCCATTCTTCCTACATACAAGTCAGGAATTGTCTGTTATACTACCAAACATTTATATTGCTGGAGCACAGAGAAAACACCTGTGTCCTTACATTTCCTAAAGGAAAAATAAGCTATATCACAGTTTACATCACTCAGCTGTGTATTTTGCTTAGCATTTGTATATAAATTTAAGCATAAATGAGAAGCTTGTGACCATATCTTTGTTTGAAATGTGACCACATATAGTTCACTATACTTTTTCAAATCTGTATGTGTCATTTCATTATTTCTAGCCTATTCAGACTCAATTTCTTATCCTTTCCATTATCTCCCTGGGAAAAAATGGATGAAATTGGGTCACTATTGTGCTCATGTCATCCCCTGGGCTGCTGGACACCTGGGTTTTTAGGACACTGTAAAATGACAAATTTAGCAAACTTTTATTGCTTTTTATGTCCAAATTCAATATCTTCAAGATATTTCCCAATATAACAACCACAATAGAATGAAGTGAGAGGTATTTAGAGCTCTTTTTCAGCTGATACTTCCCAGCTGCTTCTGTGGAACAGCAATTTGATGCCTTCCAACATCAAACTTCTCTCTCAAAGAGAGCTACAGGGTCACATCTAAGCCCACTACACAGACAATAATATTCTTCCTTGTCTCTACATTTGAACAAAACCGGTGAAATCGTAAGTCTCACATAACACAACAATTCCATATCCCATTGAATCATAATAGAAGAGTTTGGTTGGATTTGGTTTGGTTTGTTTTGCTTCCTTTTTTTAGCTTGCTTTTAAGTGTGATAGGGAGCTTACAGTGAACTGGCTTTAAGTACAGTTTGCTTCTTCAGACCCTGGTCTCATGGCAGGGTTTTAATTTTACCAACATGCAAAGGACATTCATGCATCCTTCAATATTTTACCAAACAATTCTCAACAAAGGGTTAAATAACCCATTTAAACAAAGGGTTATTTAAACTTTCTTTACCTATATTTGGAAATATTTTAAATAAAATTCAATCTATACCTAATATTCATCAAATTAATTGAACTTTGAGTGTCTTTGAAACTAAAGGGTGTTAATATACTGCAAAACAAACCAAATTAATTTTAAGGAAGTCATTGCTTCACAGGCATTTGGATTTGCACAAAGTCATGTGAGGCCCTGTTTTGCTGGAGTTTACATTTATAAATGTAAGTACTTGAAAAGAGTAAGACAAGACAACTCACAGGTGTGTTTTCTTTTGCTTGTGCACTTATATATAGCAAGTTCTTGTTTTGAAGGGTTATAACTGGTAGAAGATTTCATTTACAGCTAGAGCACCTGAATAAGTGACATTCAGAAATGTAACCTTCCTTCCTGTCACAATTCCATTTCATTTCAGGTTAAATTATATCAATTCTTGTAGAAACTTTTAAATCAACAAAAGTAGGAACAGTGGGCATTAATTTACTTTATAATGTTTATTCAGTGATCCAGGCACTTCTGCATAAACCAATATATATTATTTGAATAACTTATAACAGATGGTTCATATTTCCCTGAAATAAAAAAACCAATAAGAATAAGCCTGCAAACTCAAACATTATGAGCAGATTTTCTAAAAGGGAAAAATCATGTTATCCTCAAGCCCCAAGCTTTCAGAGAGCTGGAAAACCTGCAATCAGGAGGCCACAGTATGCACAGGCCTGTCTTTCCCTATCTGCTACAGAGCAAAAACAGCCTCTGTTGCAATTAGAGAAACACAGCACTCAGGGTCGCCCTGGCACTGATGACCTCTGGCATTGTCACCACCACACGGTGCCTAAATGATGTTAACAGGAGTGGACAGCGTGCATTCAAAGCACCAGCAGTTCATCGGCATTGCGCAGCAAACACCCAGGCCACCATCAGCTCGACACCAACACTTCCACCCCCTCCTTCCCAACTGGTTCAGCTCCACTGATAATAACTACAACAGGAAGTTTTTGGGGAAAAAATACACACTGCTTAGGAGCTGAAAAAGAAATTCCTCTCTTCTCAACTATGTGGGTTAATGCCTAAAATTAGAATGCAAAAACTACGCTACCGAGCACAGAATGACTGAAAAGGCCCCTGTACAAGAGAGTGAGATCCCTGCCATAATTTAAATATGGCTCCAAATTGATGAGTAGATTTCATCTGGGTTTTTTTGCTCTGGGTAATAATACAGTGAGAGGTAGCCAGTGAATCAGACTCTGGTATTACCAATTACTATGGTCAGTTACAGCTAAGCATGCAATCACTAAAGATTAAAAGACACATGGTTTTAGTTTGAATGGAACATTGGTAGAGCATAAATGACACATTTTATTAACAGACTATACAAAATAAAGCAGTGTATTGACATGAACACATACAAGATAAGGCAAGAAGGACTAATTTACGCCTTATCTGAGAGAGGTAGGGTGTTAGTGAAATTTAGAAAGAAGAAACTTGTGCTGTGACAGATAATGTCTAAATATTAGGGAAAATTAAGAGCCTCTTAATTCATTTAATGATATCTTTACCATATAAGTTTTCAAAAAGTACTTTTCCTTTTATCTTTATTTTAGACTCTTGGTGGAATAAAAGCTTCTTGGCTGTAACTGAAACATCTGAAAGCTGATTGCTTTGGGAAAACAATGAAATTTGTGGTTTTATCAGTCATGATAGAAGCAACAGAGAAAGAGAACAGGTATTTTTCAAGGAGAAAACGGTGTTAATACAACTTGCAAAGGAAGAATCTGCATCTTATCAAGTAATAGAAACACATTCCTCCACATAAACCTCAGCACTATAGTTTAATTTTGTGACAGCATTCATTTGCTGTAATAGCTTATCAGCCTCCAGCTGCTCTACTGGGATATTGAGACTTCAGCTTTGGTAAGAATGGCAAGGCACACGAAAAAACAACAAAGGAGAACAGTTAAATGTCTGTCAAAGCAGGTCACAGAGATACATCTGTCCTCTTTAAGGTAGGATTGGAAGTAAGGAAGTGTGGGAAGTGAGTTCAAATTGGAAAGTTAGAAAGCTGACATTGATGTGGTCACCATAGGGATTCCTAAGACTTTCTAGGCTCTTGTAATGCAGTGGTCCAGTGCAACGTAAGTTCTGAAAAATAGAGGAAGTAATCCTGAGATTGCAGTGTCTTGCCACACCATTTATTGTTTTTAATGAAAGAGGGAGAGAGAGAAGCACAAAAAGGTATTTTCCAAAATCGTGACTCAACAAACCACTTACAAAACTTTCCAAGCCCATTGCTTAAACCTGATGACCCTGGATCTCCTAGGACAGTGATGAAATGACCCAAATGCAAGGACTGTTGGTTTCTTACAAAATAAGATGTAAGGGTTACATTTCTTGCAGCCTGGCTTTCACTTGAAATCTTAATTTTAACAACTCTTACCCTGTATTGATCACTTATGCCTTTACAGTTCAATTAGAGTTCTGTATATGGCCATTGCTCTTAAAGAATAGTGTCCACAGCTGCTATCCACATGCTTTTAATCACAGGAAGAACATTCATCAACCGTACACTGAAATTGCTAATTTTTTTTCTCAGTTCTTGTCATTGGTAAGATAAATGAAGCCTCTCTAGTCTTCAGCCTTCCTTCAATTGATAACAGGCTACTTAAAAAGAAAATATTAAACCTTGTGTGAAAAATCTTCTGATTCAGATTAAAGAAGCACTTAATAGCTTACCTTGCCTATAGCAAACACCTCCGGAGGAAAGGAAGAAAAGAGTGCAACAAGACAAAAACTAGTTTTTATTGGCTTTTAAGCTGCTGAATGTAACAAGGCACTGCAGCACTTTCATCAGCCATCAACATCTTGGCTCTGGGGTAACAGACCTTTGATAAAGAGAGAATTCTCCCCAGCCAAATAATATCAGAAAAAATACGCAGGGAAGTTCACTTCAAAGATGATCTGCTGGTGCTGAATTTTAAGGAAACTGTCTTGTAACTTGTCACTGTTTCACAGAGCTTTTACTCATCATGGTAGCTGGGTTGATAGATAACCCATCAGTGGTTTCACAACAGCTCATGGGCCATGTTTGATAGGAAAAAGCATTTCAAAAACATATGCTAAGATACTAGTAGAGTCTCTAGTTACATTTTGCTGGCATCTCAGTCCACTGTACTATGACATCTACACTTGTGAAAGACAGTGTGATAAATCTCAACTGTTCTTTTCCTAATGGGAAGATATGGTGATAGGCTGTCTTTCCTAAAGCTACAGAGCTAGATTTATGATTAATTCACTTTAGTATTACAGTTTTATGTTTCCCTGAATATATACAGAAGGGTAATATACGTATAAAAAAGTTTGCATAATTAACAACTTAGATTAATATAGTTTAAACAAAAGCCACAACAACAGTAGCTTCTCACAAATTAATGATACAAAATACAAGACTCCAATTTATAAATCAACTCTAATCCACATCAGTAATATCCAAAAGCCATCACCAGCTGATGGCTCTTTAGTGTTTCTCTGACAGCTATATCCCCAGGACAGGCTGAACGTCACTGTTTCCATCTGGTGGAAGCAACACTGGATGAACAAACGCTAATTTAGTTCTCACATGCACTGACACTAGCGTGAACCAGGATGAAAACTACATTTTAAAAATTTAGCAAATCAAAGGCAAGATCAAAAATACATTGCTAGCCTCCAGGGCTACCACTAGAAGTACTCATTAATTCAGTGTGTTTCTAGAATTAGGCTTCTGTGGGACTCCCTGCTTATCCCTAGCAAATAAGGAGGTGTGTAACCAAAATCAGTGGTGGAACTTATATGCTTCAATCTTGTTGTATTCAAAAAAACACTGATGCAGACTCATGGCTTAAGAATTCATATTAGTTCATCTTTTCTGACGTCCTTCTAAATAAGAACTTCCTTCTCTTTTAAATCCAGACATCTTTGTTATGAGAGAGTCTGCATTGAAAAGTACCTCTATTTACCCCTTTTTTCTGTAAATAGAAATGGTGACTCACCACCATAATTTAACAGGAATCTATTGTAAAATCACCCTTGTTGAACATTCTTTCACTTGACCCATCACCCAAAGAACAAAAAAAAACTTCCAAGAAGGAAATATCCATTTCTTCTTCTTGAAGTTGCCCAAGGGCTCACAGCTTAGGCTGAAGTTCATGGTATTTATGCGTGCACACTAAGCCCTCATCTCTAATTGGATCCCCATTTCAACCAGTTCCAAATTGTAGCCTGAGACACGAAGGCGAGTAGCAGCTCCTCAGTTCTCTCTGGATATGCATACACACAGTCCAACTTATAAATAAAGAAACAGAAAGATAAGGTGCCCTTAAATGGCATATAAATCAATGCATTGTGTGTCAAACCTCTCTGGGTTGCATATTTGCATAATGTAGTATTAGCTATATAATCAGCCTCTTTTAATTATTTATTTTCCCCTCCCCCAGAGAGCCAAAGCGATTCTTTCTCACAGCAAGCCTTATTAAATGTACAGAGATTCCCAAAGCTGTGCCACAAAGTGATTTCTGCATACAAAGCAATACTTTTTGTATAACATACTATGAACATCGAAGAAGATGGTTCCACAATAAACATACATATCATTCCACACGTTTGTACTCTCTAGACACATAAAGCACACAACAGCCACACCTTTTCTGCTACACGTATCTAAATTCTGCCTACTAATTCTACTACACTTGTCCAAATTTATCTCTGCTCTAGATAGTGGCAAACAAAGGCATCCTTCTATACACCCTTGACAGTTCAAATATATATAGAAACCATCTTTTTTGTGGGATACCTCATGGCTACCATTTTAGGACAAAGTGGAAGCACCTTGACTGCACAGCTTTGAATTCCTAGTCTTCCTATTCCTCATAGGTGCATGAGAACTTTTACTACCAGCTGTAAAAATCAGATGACTGTTGATTGCTCTCAGCTGTAATTAGCACTGAATATACCGGATTGCCATGATCACTCAGAGGCGGACAATGTCCACGTTACTCAATTCATCATGGTGGAGGGATATTCCCCAGCAAGGTCATCATTAAAGTGGTGAGAAATCTAAAAAGGGGACAATGCTCCTTTTGGCTGTTTGGGGGTTTCTTTCACACCTTCCAACATCTTTGAAATTTCTCCGATTTAACAGGTGATGAAATTTCCACTTGAACATTGAACACTGATGTTGTGCTAAACAAGGAATCTTAGTAAATTTTATGTTGGTCATCAGGCCAGGAAACATGTAGATCCACATCCAGTAACTTCTAGAAAACTTCATAGATTCAATCAATAATAAAAGCTCTTTGTCAAAGTGCCTTTTTTTTGCAATGCATTCTCAGGCTTGGCACGCATAATGCACTTGAAATATTTCAGGATTCACAAAATTTTGGGGAAGGGAATTAGCCTTTCACAGAAAATGAAAGAATGTTTTTCCACCTTTCAGTGCCTGTGTAGTGTGGAAAGAAAGGTACACCTTACTAAGTTATGACATCAAGCTATCAAAACAGAAATCAACTCTTGCCCATTAACACAATATGTTGTACCATCACTGCCATCCTATTCTCTTTTGCTGTACACCTTCCTTTCTCCCTAACATCCAATATCCTTTTGTGTCAAGACTGAAGAGAGAGAAAAGAATTAACCATATGAATATGCACTATTGTATAATAACCTGTTAACTTTGCTTAGCAAAAACCTCTGCTGGAAGTTTTGCTGGAGAAAGGAACACAAAACTCAGCCCTCAGCAGTGACACTTCCTACTAAAATAAAGTATTGGACTCAGCAGATGATCTTCAGAACATGATTAACAGCTTGACATGTCTTGGCAATTCCAGGAAACTGAAAACTTATTAATCTGACTGCACAGCCTAATGTATTTGTTTTTCATAAGACGTATGTGCCCCAAGAGATGCAGTTTCTATTTCAGTATTTTGCTGTATTACTCAAGTGAACACACCTCTCTAAATTCCTTCAGCTGTCTCATTGTCCTTTGGAACTCAGACACATTTCCCACATAAATGAGTCAGTACTTACCTTAGAGATGCCAGTACAGAAAAAGGAAGGTACACTTCTGACTGATGTGGTAACTCAGGACATACTGTTTTAAGATCTGAAAACAGGAAGATGAAATGTATTTTTATTTTTAGTTGAAAGTGACCTTTCAAGGTACCAGTTATTCCTTCAGGTACCTTCAAAATGTGACTTCTCTATTGTATAAGTTCTCTTCAATAATCCACCAATACTCAGTAGCTCTTCTTTGGGGGAAGGAGGGAATTAAAAGTCTTGGAAAATATCAAATAAAAATGAGAATAAGGTCTTCTTCCAAAATGTTTTTTCAAATTTATGGAATACACTTCACCAGAATCACTTATTTCTAGACTGTATTAATATTCTTGACTATGTACTGAAAATCAAAACATAAACCACCAGATTATAACAATGACATTGTTACTTTTTAAAGAATTTGGTGTGGCATAGACAAAGCTTAGTTCTTACTTGGATGAACTCTTCTTTTTTAAACCCAGTGTTTAATAAAGACAGAGAGTAGAGCAATTATTTCATCTGCAAAAATAAACAGATAGCTATTAAATAGAGCAAATATTTGGTTTTTAAAAAGAAAATGTTTTAAAATATTGCATATATTTGCAAATGTTGTACCAATTTACTTATCCTTGTTTATCTACATTATGACCAAATTTAAGATTCCCCACATTCAATTTAATATCTTGTTTTGAATTCAGAGAAGCAGCATTGAATTTTTCTAATTTGTTTACTTCTGCTGTTTTTCTTAACTGACAAAACATAGTAACTGGCTCATAACAATCTCTTCACTACTAAGGTATTAATGAGCTGAGGATGCCAGCGAAAATCTGGATGAATGGTGCATCTTATTTTCTTTGCCTTCAAGTTATGTTACAATAAAGAAGGTCAAGCTATAGTAGCTCCTTTTTCTTGCCCCACACACTGATTTTCCCTGAATTTTTTCTCAGTTTTATATTGCAGTTTATAGTGCAATCAATCAGTGCAAGACTAAGCTGATTGAAATGCATCAAAGTTGATCTATTTACAGTGGAAAATTTCTTAGGTTTTTTGTTAGTGTATTCAGAATAGTTGGGGTTTGTTATCCCATAGTATTTGTATTACTGTAACAGCAAAATTATTTAGGGTCTTGCCAGGAAAAGAAAGAAAAAACTGTTTTTTCAGACATCCTAACTCTTACACAGAAAGTTTGATAATGAGTGGAGAAAAGGAAAGAACACAAAGTGTCAGAGCAAACTATTTCCCAAATAAAAATTAAAAATAGAAGAATAAAAATGCAAAAACATGCCAATAATATTTAGTGTGTTGGTTGTGCCACAGTCAAGCATTAGCACTATGATCATAGCTGAGATGAGCAAAAGAATATTTTCTAACTTGCTGAAATTAGTCAAGTCAACAAAATAGAAGCATCAACAGCTTTGCAAACAAAATGGAACCAAAAATCCTGAGACATGAGAGACAAAAACTTCATTTATTATGTACAAAACCACTGATGTACTTGCCTTATCTGTGGCCTAAGTTATGGACAAATATCTGAATTCCTTAAACCATTTAGCTTTTTAATTCTGGTTTTTCATTCAACGTTCAAGAAATTTTTAAGTGTGGGAAGCTAATACCAAGGCGAAGTCAGGATACAGACATGACAAGTTAAAATCTCCCTTCCTTCCCCAGAAATTTCAGTGCTGAAATGACTGTAAAGCAGGCTAAACATGAGAGAGAGAGAAATGCAAGGGGGAGAAAAAGAGGAACTGGTTGGTAAGATGACCCCTCAATGGAAAAAAAGCAGTTTCAGATCTGTTGAGGAAGACTGTAAGGAAATCAAAGGCTAAACATCTTCTGCAAGAGAAAGTTAACCTTAAATTGATCTGTCCCTCCTGAGACATTATCAGGAGTAAATTCTTTTCTAAGATGTTCGGTAACAGATAAATTGATACCCATTCTCATAAATTTCACTTCTTATTATTTAGAAATTCATCATTCTCTACCTGATATTGGCACTGAGACTGTAAAATACTATCATATATCAATGAAGATATTTCTCCGAACTAATAACAATTAAAGTTGATGTGATTAACAGTATTGCTTCAGTAAAAGAAGCAAGAATGCCACTTTGAGGTAGATTATAAACTAATGAAGGTTTTCAGAAATATTTTGACCAGTTATTTCTTTTTGTTCCTCTAGGCATCATCACTGGAAAACAAAGCCCTAGGCAACAGGATTGTGTAGCAGATGGTGTCTGTTAATATAATCAATATAATCAGTAAATCCCATGCATCTATATTTTTCTGATAAGAAAATATTGACAATTTCTCAAATAAGTGAGCTGAACTTCTATTTAACCTTAATACAGTTCACTTTTTTCTAATTACTTTATTGATTTCTTTGTTGGAGTGTTGAGGATGAGGTGGGAATTTTTCTTTTTTTTTTTTTTTAAGGAACAGCATCCTAAAATAACCAGACCAATATTTCTGTGCTTAATCAAAATTGATTAAGTTTCCTTGTCTGTTTCATGTTCTTTATATATTTGTGCCATAAGCTTCCAACTAGAGATCATTGGCACATTCCTTCCAAATCAAATAGAGCTAGTACTGAGCTGGATGCAAATCCATGCTCTGCAACAGATTTCCTGTTGTACCTGACATCCAAATGTTTTAGTGGATCTGGATTGAATTGACTTGTCTCTACAGCTCATAAAATTTAATACACATCAAATTAATTGCAATGTGTCAGGGAACAGAAGAGGAATTGCTGGGGATAACTCAATGGTATTTTCCTCACATCATAAGAAGCATGAGAGGACCCATAATTATTGCTGAAATTGTAACTATTAAAAATCAAAAAAGTAAAGTTATACAAAAAGAAGAGGAAATATTTAGTATATTTTTATATATGTAAAATCTATATATTCCACATATACGTCCATGATGTATAACTTATTTTAACATCAGATTTATAAATTTTCCCTTTTTCCTCTAGTTTACAGAATTTAATCCTTTTCATAAGCAGCATTGTAACTAGGCAGTTTCTGAAAACAGAAAACAAAAATGCTAGCAGCCATGAAAAAATTCCCAGAGAGGTTCACTGAAAAGCCTTATTTAAAAAGAAAATGAAAGAAAGATCATGATAAATATACCGGCTGTAGCATAGGAGAAACACTTCCAGCATTCATTTTCCATAAAGGGGTTTGCTAAACAAGCAATGAAGCATCCAGTGAAACTGGAAAGAGAGCATTTTTTAAAATTTTAAAAGGAAATCCTCCACGTACACAAAATTCATCTGCAAAATCTTTGTCACAAGGATGACAGTTCAGCACAGGACTGAGCATCACCAAGAAGACAATGAGCAGCTGCATTTCCAGCTAATGGAGACTGCCATAACTACCTTAGTGTTTCTTATTAATCATAAGGCTTCTAAGCACTAGTGGTGACATGACTGGTTAGGATAAAAAAAGAGGGCTTCCTATAAGAATGGTACTGACCATTGAAAGTTCCTAAAGTTGTCTTTAAAGCACTTGGTAAGGGTCAATTTGTAGTATGCACAAATTTGAACAATTATGGCATGTCCAACATTATTATATTTGGAAGTCAGATATATATTTAATTTCAAATTACTACTTTGATTACTAAATTGTGGAAGAATCTTGTGTGTTTCATTTTCAAAACCTATTCCAAAATTCTAGGTCTTTTTATTTACAGGATTTACAGTATTAAACTTCTCAAAAGAAATATTTTGCATGACATGACTTTCTTCTCTCCTAGTATTATTATATTTTCTGCTCGAATTTCCTTTTATATTTATCCATCTGAACTAATGTAATGTTTACATCTGTACAAAATATGTTGGAAGAGAAGTAAATATAAGCAATTTATTTATTATATATTTATTCCTCACAGTACCCTCTTGGTTGGGACAGTTTCTATTAGTGTTTTCAAGGGACAAATAAATAAAAACCAAAATGTGTTTCTAGGATGATTTTCAAAAAATGCTACCTTAATGAGAAAATACTGATTTCTGTAACAACTACTATACAAATTCCCCATTTAAGAATTCTGGTGATGGAACTTGGGCTGGCTAGCATTTAACCTCTCCTAGATTAACCTTGAACCTGATGGCAATTTCTTTCTCCTCTTACACATACTCAGGTTATACCACTTCCCCTATTTTGTTCAGCTTAACCAGTATATTTAAATTCAACAGGCACTGGCCACTAATAGTTGCAACCCATCTGTGGCTGTGGTTACTGACAGTCTCTGGTCCCAAGCCATGATTGAATCTTTACCACCAAAACCACAAAACCCATCTCTCACCAGCTGATTAAAGAATATTGTAAGAGATAAAAAAGTAGTAGATTACAGTTATTGTGAAAAGCAAGTCACAGTCATATAAACAAGGTCAGTGTATCTTGCATTTCCCTTGATTTAGTATATTCTGATGTGCATCCTAACATTCTCTGTGGCCTTTAAGAGCTCGTGTCATTTCCTGAGACCAGCTTTATTATGAAGGCAGTTATATTTCTTGCAAATTTTGGGACTGTGATAGCCATTACTGGAGAATGGCATTGCCATCTTCTGACCAATGCTTCAGCTCCTCTCTTTCATTTACTGCTTGCATTTCACTGCTGGTCTCAAGTCACAGAAAAGTTTCACTCTTCTGGAAGCCTATGCTGCAGAGGAAAGATGGGGATTTGCTCCCTACTGACTATGTTTTCCTGAAAGCTAACAGCTTCATCACAGGCTCCTCCATGCTTTGGAGCTGGTCCCCACAGTGGAACCTATTCCTGGCTCTGTTTTCCCCCAGACAATGTGAGTTCCAAGAGATCCTTCAGGGATTGCTCTAATGGCCCTGCAATCCACTGTGAGATGGTTTTAAATGAAACAGCATTTCTTTGGCAACTCTATAGTGAAAGTGAGAAAAGAATGAAATACTGGATGAAAATAATCTTTCCTGGATGCACACTGTGGAAAACACTGCTGGGGAATGCATACCATAGAAAACTCACCTAACAGGTGCTGAAATATTAACTTGGACATGTAGCATGCTATGAGCCAGTGCCTTCCTTAGAATCTTGTC